AACGGCCATAGCGACTTCGTTAATGGTAGCCCGTTCTTCTGTTGCGTTGATCTATAAGCGTTACAGTGAGACGGATGAGGAAGTTCCTGCTCCCATGGGCGGTGACCATCGTTCTCTTTTGTCTAATGAAGAAAAGGAAGGGATCAGCGCATGGGTAAACGGTAATTCTCTTTTGATTTTGAAAGCACTTCAAAGTCAAATTTACGAGTCGTTTAGTACCTCATGTTCTATGAGTACTGTTGATCGTATTTTAAGAGAATTTCATTTTGCCCTTAAACGTGCGTATCCCGTCCCTGCTCCTCGTAATTGTACGCGGACCATAGAATCAAGATATACGTACGCAAACAATTACAGGAGATACGAGGAAACAATTAATCCTGGAAACTTTATCTTCGCTGATGAGGTTGGTTTTCAGGTTGTTACTCGTCATAAGAGAGCTCGTTCCCGTCGTGGTCAATCTGCTTACGTTTTTGTTTCTGCTGCTAGGAGTAGAAATATTTCTGTTGTGGCAGCAGAAACAAACAAGGGGTTTTGTTCCACAGTGTACAAAACTGTGCCTTTAACGGTGAGTCGTTTAAAAGCGCTCTCATCGAGTTAAAGGCACACTGCCGTACCAGACAGATCGTTAATCCCGTGTTTATCATGGATAACGCGGCGATTCATCGTTATCGTGGTCTTACGTCAGTCCTTGATGAGTTGGGGATTCAAACCCTCTATCACCCTCCTTACTCTCCGTTTTTAAATCCTATTGAAAACGTTTTTTCCGTTTGGAAGAATATGGTCAGTGGGTCGGAGTGTATGTCGGAGGCGGACCTGAAGCAAGTCATTACGACAACCTTCAACAACTTGGATAACGACATTTGCGAAGGTTTCTACCGCAAAATGATCAGTTATCTGAATAAGTCGATGGACCAAGTCCCTTTTTCCCCATTTCAGTTTAAGGTCCCTTTTTCCCCATGGTATTTTAGATCAAGTCCCTTTTCCCATGGCATTTTCTTACTAAGAATAAATTGCTGTAATCTATTGAATCCTAAGAAGCTCAAATAATGCTACCAAGCCCATTCCTTTCCCAGTATTGTGCTTCCACATAACTCACACAACAGTTCATCCAGTTTAACACCAAGAATCCCTTTGTGCATCTTAATGTTGTACTTGCACGTATTCCACGTTGACTCAATATTCTGAGTGTGGATGCCAGTAACTGGGTTCACAAAGCTCTCACTGTGATTAACAGTCTCATAAGTGAATCCGAGCTTATCAGATATGCCCATGTATGCCCTCCATTCATCACTGTTGATGATGGTGCCTGGAAGGCATACACGCTCAATGATAGGCAGCAATGTGGAGGCTTTATGATCATCTACCACGTACAATGAGATTTTAGCTGGTGTAAAGGACACATCAGCCAGTCCAAATACCCAGATCTCACACCCTGGTTGTCTACCTCGATGGTACTTCTGTTTGTGCCTGAACAGACTTTCGTCTATCTGGACCACAATACCATCCCCGCCGAGCTTAACAGGATTCTCTGCTACATTTAAACAGCAAAATGTGCGCAGACGGTCAATTATTTTCATAACGACCTTCTTGTTAAGGTTCACCTCGGTCATGATCTGCACTTGAGTGTGGTTATTAAAACATTTACAGCACACCTTAATGATACTGCTCAGAGGTGCACTGAACTCGTTGAGGACCGACTCGACACGGATTGAGTGATACTTTGAGTATCCATTACAATCATGATTATAGCACCTAAATGCCATCCCATCTTTGTTGCGGATGTATGGCTTGCATACCATGTCAACAGAACACGTTGGACATGCAACCACTCGCTTCAACACTCCTCTAACTCTGAGGAACTCCACGAGACCCGCAACAGGCCCATTC